GCGGACTCAAGATGTCGGCCACATTTGTCGGCAACACCACCGCCATCCAGGAGTTGTTCAAGCGCATTTCGGAGCAGTTCACAGCCATGTTCCGGCGCAAGGCCTTCCTCCACTGGTACACGGGCGAGGGCATGGATGAGATGGAGTTCTCTGAGGCGGAGAGCAACATGAACGATCTGATTGCCGAGTATCAGCAGTACCAGGAGGCGAGTGCCGACGACGATTACGACGAGGATGAGGAGGATGCGGGCAACGACTACGACCGCAACGACGACGGCGGTCGCAACGACGACTACAACGATCGCGATAGCTACAACGACAGAAACGACAGCTACAACGACAGGAACGACTACGACGATCGCAACGACGACCGTCAAGAGGACGATGCCTACTAGTCCGGCTATACGGGTGGCACGGCATGGTTGAGTCGGTTTTTTTCACAGACCTTGCGACCGTGCGTGCGATGGGCGTGTCTGCCCATACGCGTGGCAGTTGTAGCGGAAACACTTGGCCTTTGTTAGGGCGTGTTCTGGTTATTTCTGCTTACGTTTTGCGGCTGGCATCGTGCTGTGTTCTGGCACAACAGTGCCTCGTAAAGCTTCGTTCGCACCATCCGCCAGAGTCGGCACGTGAAGCTGCGTACCACAGCCTTAGCTGGGGATGGACATCAGAGACTATGCCTAGCTGTAAAACCGGTACGTTACTTCGATGTTCATGTGTGCCGTGAATTTCGTGGAGTCGCCGGTGTGAAGCCTGTCACCCTCTGCTGTGATATTTTATTGCTAGCAGTGCCCTTCGGAAGATTTTGGAGTTAAGACTCAACTTGTCCCAGCATTTGACTTGGACCTCAGTTGAGCCCGCTGCAAATCAGATGCGGGATTCATGTACACATGTACATGTACACACAAAATAACAGCTGTGGTGTTCATGTTTCGTACGAGTGCATGCCGTGATTGCCAAGTCGGCGCACGATAAGGGCAGCTCGATAGGGCATGTTCAGCCTGATGATTGGTCATGAATTCACAACAGGCATCTGGAAACCTGCAACGCAATGATGTTCGTGTAAATCATCCACTGTGGGGTTGTTTTTAGCAGACGTTTGTATTGATGTGTTTGATTTGTAACAGGAAGGGATGACACTCAGCCGGATGGTTACCCACTAGTTTTAGTTCCTTAAAGTTGATGTTAAGTATCACTCCATCGTGTGGTTCCGTGGAGAGTTGTGTTGTTTATCACCTTTGTTAAAATGTAAATATGCTAATACAGTATTTGGCATCGAGAAGCTAATTTTTGTCAGATGTATTTACAGACGCTGCTTCGAAGAGAGGTGTGGCGATGTGATGGGGTCAACACCACCACCACCAAGGTCACCAAGTATCTCCCGGCAGATATGTGTCTGGATGCCAAGGGTAGATCAAAGGTCCCATAATGTTCCATCCTCATAGGATCTCGGGATCTTTTTTGGCTCCAGGCACATGTCTGTGTCCTCGTGCATTCAAGGTCAACAGCTGTCAGTATAAGAAATCTGATCCCATAAGCTGAAAAACAGATCAAGCCCTTCCTGGCTTAGATCAAGTGGCCTATTTGTTTGATGAAAGAACTGTCAGCAGTAAGATCATTCGAAGCTCTGTTCAGAAGTCATTCTCAGAGCTTTCCAAATGTACCAATGCATGAAATAGTTTTAAAGCTCATATCTATACTACGTGGTGGTGATCATAGTCGTTGGAGAACCATGATATTGAGCGAACGGTCCCTTTTCGGGGGAATTCAACCCTCGCTGACAAAGTAATGCTGCCCTTATCTTACATGTAGACTTTGCGATATAGGGTGAGGGTCAGTGAAGGCGACTTGGTTGGATCAAAAACTAGTGAACAGAAGCTTTCGACTTGAAAAAGTTAAGGTTGATTGACTCGCCAGAAGGACTGGCGTGGGCGTGGTCAGCACCAGTTGACCTATCATGCCGGACAATTAGAAACCTGCTTCACTAGATGGCAATAGTGTTCCACATTCGTACGGGGTTTTGAACTGAAATAGCCATCTTGGAGATCCTTCGGTGCAGTTCACAGCCCTGTACCTCCTAAAACCTAAATCCCTGCCGTTTCTAACCCCACACGCGGGCAAAATGTGCAGAATACTTCATGTAGACTTTTTAGGGCTACCCAAGCATCCATGACGCCATAATAACGCCATTCTAACAATGTCATTCCATTGGACATGCGGCGTTCAAGGGCGCGACAAATATACTTGTCGAATTGCTCATATCTGAAGCTCACGAGCACGATTTCTTGATAGAACGACCGTCATTTGGCTTTCAATCAATGTCATGTAAAACACGATGACGCAATCAAACAATAACGTCTTGAGCAGCATATTTAGTTACAGAAATATTGTGTTGTCTAGAGCAGTCTTCCTACTTGAAAGGATACCAGTAGTTATAAGTAAGCTTATTTCGTCGCGTCTCATGTTTGCTTCAATATCTTCAAATGTGAACCATTTCGGGTATGTTCCGTTTTGACGGATTGTTACTCCCAACCGTTCCTCATTCCTTCGTCACTAATTTCATTTTCATCCGTCAGTGTCGTCAGCTGCGTCGCCTCCTGTTCGCTGTTTGCGATGCGTGTCACGTCGTTCCGAGGCGCGCCACCGTGTTGAAAGGTTCGGCCTCGCCGATCGTCGACCCCTCATCGGTCGCGACGCGCCCCGCCAGTGACAACAGCCTTATAGGTGTCCGTGCTAAGTTTTTTGGTTTCGTCCAACTGACCTCGGTGACCTTGTGATCTACTTTTCTTTCTCCAGATAGAGGTTAGCTCGGCGCGAGAAGCTTTGTTTGTTAGGCGGCTAAGACTCGCAGCCCTGGGGTACGCGACGAAGACATGCATGTGATGCGGCGGGCCCAGGTGAGGCTTTCAGGAGCGTATCGTGATCATTCGATCATCTCAACTTCAACATAAAACAAGATTTGCTATGTATTGCGACGCGTCTTCTAGCACATGCAAGCGCTTCTAGCACAATGCTGACTAAAAATCCCTTACCGACATCCGGTTTCTAATGTGGGGTGACCACTCACGTCGTTAGCAACAAACAAATATTGAGTCACAATCTGACACATTTCAGCCTGAAAGCGTGAGCGTGGGTTGGCCGTGGATCACCCAATGTTTTTACTGGGTGAAATGAGCGTCATGTCGCCGAAATACACCTTAAACAGCAATACAAATGCCAAAAGGCTATAGTTACTCCAAACGTGCTCCTCGACCAAGTGAACTTCATGAGGATCCCTCCTGCGAAGAAACTTGTTATGCAGAATACGCCATTGCTCCCGAAGGGAGTTTGGAACGACGTTCAAGCTCTTGCGGTGAGCTGGTTGTGAAACGGAAAGCTTCACTGACGAAGGACCACGCCCAGCAGCCCAGCCTTGGTCAAGCCATGCAGGCTGGCTGAAGACTATCTACATATAGAAGCATGATGCGATAATAGTCCCCTTTCTTCGTGTAATTAAAATAGTCGGTACATAGTTACCCTGATAGACCCTTACCATTAGATCACCGCAAAATTGAACGTCAAGCTTAGTAAGAGTCTTCATCCAGCAGAGCTCGACGTGCAATAGACAATACACAGCAGCGGGGGAGGTAACACCTAGAGAGTTTCACCACGGCCTCAGACGGTGTACATGTGACTTCGAGTGGTGCGGATGACCTCGACAGCTCACATGTGACCTCAAATGGTAGACAGGCCACCTCATAACCGTAACACGCGTGACCTCAGACGGTACACGCGTGACCTCAGACTGTACACGCGTGACCTCAGACGGCGCAGCTGGACTAGTGGCCGGACAGCTGAACGTTGCGGCCGAAGACCATGCGGACGTGCTCGGCGCCAAAACTGGCCGTATACGAAGATGTCGCGGGCCGGGTAGTGCAGCTGTCGCAGCGAGCTCAGAGAGGAGATGATCATGGTCGGACCGCCACACAGCACCATCTGGCGAGACAGTAGAGACATACTCTGAGACCACACAACGGCGCAAAGGCACACACTATCAGAGATTGATTGAAAAACGTTCACGACACATGCGTTGTTTCGGTGGGTTTCATTTGCGACACCTGCAAGAATATTTCAGGTTATCAGATGCGCACGAAAACTAGGCCCATTGACACCTAACAGCGCCCGAAGCGCAGGTCGGTCAGCAGCGGCGGCCCGTCATGTTTGAGGACAGTGCAGCGTTACTTTCTTTGCAGCATGTGTCGCTGTGTCCGGCAACGGTGCTGTGTTACCTTGCAACGGCGTCCGTTGGGTTTTGGTACGGTGCGCTGGATCATGTCGGTATCGATGAAGCCTTCCTCGCCGTGCCAGTTCTCCGGCGCCTCGCCCAGGCTGTACAGGATTTTCAGCCTACAGTCGCTGGCTGATGAAGAGAAGAAGACGATATAAGAGAGGCACACAATAGCCTCCTTTACGTACAGCATATCGGAATTTGTGTTAGATTAGTACAAAACCTCAGTAAACATCCATGTTTAACAGCGTGGTCGCATTTTAAATGGGACGATGCGTTCCTGGAACGAAAATGCCAACTTAGCTACGCTGTGTCCAGATGCACATGAGCAGCACCTTCCTAACAACAGCTCAGCCAACCAGTGACAACCACAATCGAATGAAGGTGCCGTGATCTCACAGGTGTTCTCCTGCTCTGCGCAAGCGCTGAAAGGTTAAAAAACCGCGCTGGCGTGCGCTCCATGTCTCTTCGTCTTCGGTACCCAATTAGCTTTTAGTTCAAGGGAATGTTCCACACCTAAAGATATTGAAGAAAGCATCAGATTTTGTATATGTTTTAAAATTTTTCATAAGTTTTATCCGAACCCTTTGAATGGATGGCCTTCTGGTATCAGCGCTCACGCTAAGCAGTGCCTGTTGTGTGAGCCCTGACCCTCACCACCCGATCGCGCAATTTCAGGTAACGGCAGAATTTAGTGGTGAGAGCTTAACGTGCCGCAATGCTCGGAACGGTC